ATGTAACATTTTCTATAAGTTATCGTTGCTTTTGTTACGGAAATATCAGCGTTTTGTATGTACTGGAAATACAAATCCAATTGTTTATAAAGCTCTGGAGCATCGGACTGGAAATTTAGTTTGTATGCATTTATCTGTGCTTTATTTGTTAAATCGCGATGTGCCTTTCTTCTGTTCATTTAAGGATCACGTTCATTTAAGGATCCCTAATCCAATCGTCCTCGATGAGGAGTTCCGTTAATGAAGCGCGGTTATTTAGTTCAGGAGCAAGATATCAGATCGCTAATTCTATACATACTACTCTACATCGCTACTCAATAGTTTCTCAACGTTGAAGACCGCCGGTATTCGTGTCCGCTTGTGCAAATAGCTACGTCTGCTTCGCTGTTTACGATCTAACTAAATGTCAAAGTTAAGACTAATAAAACAAAGCGAATTTCATGAGTTGTAATTCATTTGCGTATACATAATAAAATTGGAGAAATGCTTTCCATGTTCAATATCGCTCAGCAAATATCTAATACTTAAAAGACATTCAAACTTCGACAATACAATCTTTAAATATATTATTAACAGTTTTTCTGTATTCTAATTTTTTAATAATTTGTTATAAATATGAATGATTCGATGAATATTGAAAATATTAACAAACAGAAAAATTATCTTTCTCGTAAAAATTTTTATTTTCATTAAATATTAGGAGAGTTGAATTTGTCACACATGAATGCATTTATAACTTTGAAATCATGTGTACGGTACATTCAGATATCTTTTGGATTTAATTATATTTGTGAATTAATTGTGTGTTGATTAATTATATTTGTGAATTCGATCAAATTAACGGCATTCACAGAAAGGAGAATATCGATGAAGTTTACCACGGTGGCGTTTATTAGCCACGAGATTCAAGGCAAGTGGCTCATTCTCGCGGCCTTCCTGCGAATATTCGAGTATACGACATAACATGAGATGCTCGAGGCATTCGACGAATACTAAGCTGCACTCGAGGAAACTATACCTCTCTTCGAGAGATTAGGAGTGCAACCAGTCGTGTAGTTGATTCTAGAGGCGCGATTCCAAAGGCATCGCGCGCCAGCAATAGCGCTAAACGTCGCATATAACGAGCTATTATCATATGAAATGGCTTAATGTGTCACGTATCTTTTAATATAATTATATTATATCTCTTAATGTGACCAAGATGATTAAATTTTCAATTTTCATTTTTTACACACTTTCGAAATATTTCGAAAGGAATTTTAGCTAGCCACATTAATTTTAAGACTAAAATTCGACTTTAAGCGTGACACGCTGTGAATTTAGCTTCCTCTGTCACAATACCAAGTGCGAAAAACAAAATTATGAAGTAAATGTTATCGGGATACGCGCTCCCGATTATTCCCAATTGTTTATCGCAATATAAAATTTGAATAGAATTGATGTGACAGAATTTTGAATAGGAGCTTTGTAAACCGGGAATCTGATCCATTCGAACTACACAATACCTATTTTGATGTTCATCTATACTATGCGGGACATTTCTGCTTGAAACGATCGAAAATTGCGAATCGATAATTGGATTGAGCCCATCACTATCGTGCATACATGCGTATATATTATATTTGTTCAATCGTATTCGAACGTGATGGTCTTGGTACGTCGATCCGCGCCGTAATTCCAAGCCATGAATTCCACGCTATCTGCATTGTCATCGTGATAAAGGAGAAGAAGAGAGTCGATTGGACGTATATCGATGCGTTTTTTGCCTCTCTACGCGGTTTCCGTCAAGCGGAAAGCGCTGCGTTTGTTGCAGTCCAACAGTAGTGTGAGTATAATTTGTGACCGTTTATAGTCGTGTAACTTTATGCGTGACATATGTAACATGTAACGTGCAGCACATGTTTCTTTTTATTTTAATGACTATTACAAGTTTGATGTATTAAAAAAAGTACACGAGTAAAACTCGGCGCAATTACCTTTTATCGCGTGATTATTTTTTATCTGCCAACTGCTCATCGTTTAAGGATAAAAACTTCTATTAATAAATAATAAAATTTCTATTTATTAACATTTTTTAATTAATGTTAATTTTTCTAAAATAACGGTGGCTTATAAGAACATTAAAAAAATTTAAACGATATGAAAAATGTACACATATAACATAATTCATGTTTTAATTGCATTGCGATATAAATGTGCTTGCATTATTAACAAAATGGCAATAGAGATTAATTGGTTAAAGTTAACTCGCGATTGTACATTGATTGACGTATTCTTTTGGTAATCTCGCTCTCTCTAACCACGAAAGCACGTTCCAGATGAACTTTGAGATTTCTACGTACGGACGGAAGTAGGTCGAAGGAAGTTTTAATCGAGCCATCAGACAGCTATACCTTCGAAAGAGACATTCGACACAATTGGTCGCCAATGTGCGCGGATAGAATGTAGTATGCGCATCGACCTACGAATGCATAAGTTAGATACTATTGTGATTTAGTTCTGACACGTGGCGATTGCGGAATTCTCCTGCGACTCAAAGGAGTCATCCGATATTGCCAAAACACAATATTAATTTATAGGTTTTCTTTTATTATTTCCAAAAAGAAATTAATGTAGTTAGAGAAAATATTATAGATAAAATATTTGATAAAATTATTAAATTTGTTTGTTAAATAAGAGACATTATTTTTATCTAACTTTTAAAGATAAAGATTACATTGTACTTTTAATATTTAAGATAATATTCTAGTAGATAATAATAGATACTTTCCAAGTACGAAACTTAAGATTATTTTTGTTTGTATTTCTCTTTAAATAATCATTAATAAAGATATTTTATTATTCGTTTTTTATTAATCATGATTAAATATCAGATAATAAATCAGATGTGATAAGTTCTATAAAATATCATATCATAAATCCATAAATCATGATGATATATTTAGCATTTATTTATGTAAACAACGGTTTTATTTTCGCAAGAATTATGAAACATTTTTACGAAATCACAGAAATAACACCAAATATAATATTCGAATCCAATTCATCCAATGAGGGTGTCGCTTGAAAATAGAGAATAACTCTCCCAAACGATCTGTCATGATCGGGAATCAATTTCTAAAGGGATTGAGTGCACCGCTAAATGTAGACAGCTGTTACAGAGACTGTACAAGAAAAATGAAAAATATGGAAATTATCTTGAAGGAGGGAAGGATTCTGAAACATATATCAGTATTACACATCATAATACACAAATACAAAATACAGATTAAAACATGAGATGATACATAATCAGAATCACTCTTTTTTTTCCAAAGAAATAAATGGATAATTTTGTCATATTAAATTAAATTTTGTCATGTTTGCAGCATGTTTGCCTGAGTCTATTTTTTCCCTGATTATTTATCTAAAGTCAATTATTATTTATACAATTT